ACATCAGAGGAACTGATTTCGAAGTTCCAGTTGCCTAGCGAAGCAAAATACAGTTAAAACGCTAAGAAAGAGGCAATAGTAGTAATAATTTTCATTACTTAATTTCTGGTTGCAGATTGAGGGGAAGCAGAAATAATGCAGCTAATGAAAGGATTGCTATGGAGGGTTGTGGGGCAGGGGTCAGTCTGGGTGATTCCAATGGGTACCTTCCAATCCTGTGATCCTGCGCTCGTGAGGCTAAAATCTAAAGGGCAGATCCCTTGTTAAGGTCATGGCCTGAACGCCTCAGCCAAGTACCCATCGTTTGCATCTTAAAGAGTGGGCACTGTTTCCATGGAGACAAGCAGGAGTGTCTTTTCCCATCTCACCTGGCTGGATGCCACATTCTAAGGATAGCAAACAACAGGCCAAAGGGGGGGGGTCTGTATAAGAGGCAGCTGTGTGTGAGAGAGTTTGGGGCTGTTGCTGAAAACTGGAGGGCCAGAGACATGGTCTTGCTTGGTGCTGGACTTGAGGCTCCCTGAAAGCTGAACGGAAAAGCAAGATCTGTTGGGGTGTTAATGCTGTGACCAGGGCCGGATTGAGGTTTGATGAGGCCCTAAGCTACTGAAGGTAATGGGGCCCTTTATATGTCCAGCTGTCCATTGTCAACACTGGTTTTTTTGTGTTGGATATATGCTGTATGGTAATTTATGGACCTAATAGGTATCTAAAGCCATTTGCACATAACAAAATATGTATTTTATCAAAGCAATTGTTAAAGTGAAATACAATTAAGAAGAAGTACAGTGGTACCTTGGGTTACATACTTCATTAGCTTCAGGTTACAGACTCCCCAACAGTCTTTTTTAAATTTATATATATATATATAATTTTTATTGATTTTAACATATAAATTATAAAATGTACCACAAAACTTATCACTTATACAATCTTTTTAGACTTCCATCAGCACTTCTGATGATCCACCGTTTTAACCACTTCTTATGCATTTCTTAACTTTATATTGCCTTTACATCTCTTAACAAATCATCCTTCCCCTTCTCCATTTTTGCAATACTTCCAATAATACTCCTCACAAAACTTCTTGCAAGCCTACAAACGTCGTCTGATCTTCACAAATACTTTTCAAATAGTCCGTAAATTTACTCCAGTCTTCCGTGAATTTCTGGTCCCTCCGGTTTCGAATCGTTCCTGTTAGTTTATCTAGTTCTGCATAGTCCATTAACTTCATCCTCCATTCTTCAATCGTCGGTAGTTCTTCTTGCTTCCATTTTGGGGCCAGTAATATTCTTGCTGCTGATATTGCATATAAAAAGAGCTTACATTCCTTTCTGTTTATATCACTCCCAACAATGCCCAGTAAAAATGCTTCTGGTTTCTTTATAAATGTATATTTCAACATTTTTTTCATCTCATTATATATCACCTCCCAGAAGCTTTTTACCTTTTTACATTCCCACCACATGTGATAAAATGTTCCCTCTTTTTCTTTACATTTCCCAATTTTACCCAATCACTCAGCTGTATATTATACCCAAAATCCTTGGCTCAATGAATCATGACTGACTTAACCTCCTTGTCCTTCAAATGCCATTCAAACAGCAATTTATATATTTTATACAAAATTTTAGAATCATTACTTAATATCGTCCACAACAGTCTTGTTGTCTGGGCAGTCCGGGACCTCCATGCCCACTGCCCAGGCTTGCACCCCAAGGAGGTCACTTTGGTGCTGTTTGACTTCACCCCTGGAGGGGCACTCCATTGCCTCTCGAGACAGACAACAAATGCCCAAAAAACCGCCATCTCCCCTGACATGCATTCCAAGGAAACCAAACCCTTTGTAAAAATGCAAGAACCCCTGGAATCTCTCATCACTCAGAGACCATCTTGTGTGCAACAATGTACAATCCACCATAAAATAACGACAGCAACAAAATCCCCAATAGTGCAATATTCACAGTAAACAGTCTTACGCACTGAGCTGTATTAGCGGCTGGGAAAGGGCCGTGGCTCAGACATAGAGCACTTGCGTTCCATGCAAAGGTCCCAGGTTCATTCGCTGCCCCCCACCTGAACCTCTGAAGTCCCACTGTAGATATAATTCTGAGCAAGATGGAAGACTTCCGGGGTGGCGCCATCGGTAATGGCGGATTCCCTCTGATCCGGAGGGACTGGCTCTACGGAAATCGGGTCTGTTCCGCTACGGCGAAGCGGGGACCCTTTAAAAAATCACTGGCGGATGAAGCCTGTGACCATGGGACTTGGCGGGCACCTTTCGCGCCCCCCCAATTCGTAAAGGAACCCAATTACGGGCTCCGGAGCGAAGAGGGGCTAGTGGCGCGGTGCTGAGAGTCAACTGCTTCTTCCGTGGAGCGAAGTTGCACAGCCGTTGCCGGAGAGCGCTACCTTTTTCCTGGGACAATTTGGCTACAAAAACAACTACCCGTGAGCAGATCAAATTTGGACAATTGGACTTTAAACAACGATCTGTGAGTAGAATGGAAAATTGGATTAAGAGATTCCTCTTAATTTGGCACTGAAGCAGGAAGGTCTAAACAGGAAGTCAGCCTTCCGTTTCTTGTAGATAGATTAAAGCAAAGACATGGCAAACTAGAGTTTAGAAAATCGTTTGTAAAGGATCAACTTTCATCATCTAAAATTACTGAATCCCCTTCGGAAGCAGGAGAAGAGGGGGGATTTTTTCCGGATTGTTTAAACCTGCAGAAGAGAGTGTAAAGAAAAGTAATTTTCCACCGTCTTGAACCTGGGAGCGGGGTGTCATGACAGACGTTTTTGGGAAGTTCATTGAGTATAGACAAAAGTTTTTGACAGACAGTTAAAAGAAGAGAAACATAGTGATTCCATTGTTCTCTTTCGCATTTTAAAGGAACAAATATTGACAAAATATCTGAAAAAGGAAACTTTGTTGTTAGATCTGCTGTTAAAAAAGAAAAAAGAAAAGAGATGGATACAAATAGAAGTTCTTCCCCTAGAGGGAGCTTGTGAAACTGTTATTAAATTTGAACTGGGGAGCTTCGTAGCTACAATAGATTAAGATCGTGGGAATAGACTTCTGACCTTGCATAACAATGTACTCAGGGGCTTTGGTGCGTGCTTTCTGCAAGACAAGTGCTTTATTGGAACAGTTACATGAGAAGACGGATTTGATGACTGTTGCGATTAGAAATTTTGGACAGGTAGTGGGTATCTATATAGAACCCACCCAGGAATCAACTCAGGAGTTTGCTCTGACAGATCAGATGAGGGAGGAGGTTGTTGCTGGACCTCGGGTGGCAGAGATGGAGGGAGCTGTGGCCCAGCAGGAACATGAGTTGTTGGATCTGACAAATGAACTTGGAAAAAGCCAGATTTGGAGAGATAGAATCTTGTTTGGCTTGGAGATGGGGGGCTGGATAGACCCCCCTATGCAGGGATGTCTTGACTTTTCAAGTCTGGCAATGGGCCGTGAGGAGTTTGGGGTTGTGGGGGTCCTCAACTCTGGAGGGACCTTGAAACATGCTTTTAAATACCACATGGAGTTCAGTGTGGACTATGGAAAAGGGGCTGATCTGTCGAGAAGAGACAAAAATACTGTCAAGTTGGAGTTTCCACGAGTGAAAGGACCAGGAGACAAAGTAAAGTACAGGTATAAATATGAAGAAGATCTGCGGAAGGGACATGGAAGAGACTTAAGGGCCTCGGACATAAGATTACCAGGTTAATGAACTAGTTGGATGGGATAGAAAGGACTGACAAAACCCGGGACCAGGAGGAAGAGATGTTGGATGAAGATTGGAAGAAAATTTAAAAAAAAATTATTTAGGATTGTTTTGTAAAATTAATGAGTATTAGAAAAATGTTGGAACGAAATTATTTGGCTTTAGCAGAAATGTTAAAAAGAACTATGCAAGAATATGCTATGGTTATGAGAAATTGGTATAAATAAGATTTAAGTTTTAAGTTTTAGGGTTTTTATAGTAAGATAAGGTTAAAATAGATTACGGTAATTTAATGACAGAATATTATGAAAAATGGGAAGGATTTGCTGTGATAATTAATAACTAGAATACAAAAAAGGGAGGTGTGAGGAGGTCGATGAAATAAGGTAATGACAGTTAAGGATTTGGGAATATTGGATCTGTTTTTAAATTTTAAATTTTAAATTGATTTTGATGTGCTATGTGTTTTGTTTTTGTTTTTGATTTTTATCGATTTGTATTGTTTGATTGCTGTTTGTTTTTCCCTTGTTTCTTTTCTTCTTTTTTCTCTTTGTTTTTTCTGTAACTTTAAAATTCTTAATAAATATCATTTTTTTAAAAATATATATATAATTCTGAGCAAGATGGACGAATGCTCTTACTATAAGGAAGCTTCCTATTTTCCTGTGTTCCTATATGTCTCTCTTTCTTCTTGGGCATTTCCAGTCAATGGCTAGTGTGAATTACTCATCTTTGGGCTCTTTTCATAGAATGACCGCTGAGACCATCTGGCACCAGTCCTGAAAGACCTACATTGGCTCCCAGTATGTTTCCGAGCACAATTCAAAGTGTTGGTGCTGACCTTTAAAGCCCTAAACGGCCTCGGTCCTGTATACCTGAAGGAGCGTCTCCACCCCCAACGTTCAGCCCGGACACTGAGGTCCAGCGCCGAGGGCCTTCTGGCGGTTCCCTCCCTGTGAGAAGTGAGGTTACAGGGAACCAGGCAGAGGGCCTTCTTGGTGGTGGCGCCTGCCCTGTGGAACACCCTCCCATCAGATGTCAAGGAAATAGAGAACTATCTGACTTTTAGAAGACATCTGAAGCAGCCCTGTTTAGTGAAGTTTGTAATGTTTGATGTTTTATCGTGTTTTTAATATCCTGTTGGGAGCCTCTCAGAGTGGCTGGGGAGACCTGGCCAGATGAACGGGTATGTATGTATGTATGTATAAATAAATAAATAAAATGACAGAACTGTAGATTTAGATCACGAGGGTCATCTAGTCCAACCCCCTATTGTGCCCAACATGGGACTCGAACCCACAACCCTGAGATTAAGAGTCTCATGTTCTACCGGCTGAGCCATCCCTTTCCAGAGCAGTTTAGCCACCAATCCCTCTTCACAGGGAACTCTGGGCATGTTAGCTCTGTAACGGGAGCAAAGAGGCCTCCGAACACCTCTCAGCACCCTTAACAAACTACAACTCCCAGAATTCTTTGTGGGAGGGAGCCGTGACTGTTTACAGCGGTGTCCTAGTGCTCTAAATGTGAGGGTGGCCTGATCCTGTAGTGGCTACATCTCCAAATGGAAAGTGTGGTCAACAAAAGTGGTTTAAAGACTGCCTCAAGGCAAATCTAAAAAAAATGTAGTATAAACACCAAAATTGGGAAACACTTGCCTGCGAGTGCTCCAATTGGAGAACAGCCTTTACCAAAGGTGTCATGGGCTTTGAAGACACTCGAACTCAGGACGCAAGGGAGAAACGTGCTAAGAGGAAGGCATGCTTGGCAAACCCTCACCGTGATCAACTCCCGCCCGGAAACCAATGTCCCCACTGTGGAAGGAAGAGTGGATCCAGAATTGGCCTCCACAGTCACTGTGGACTCACTGCCAAGACCGTGTTTATGGAAGACGATCTTACTGGACTACGAGTGATCGAAGAAGAAGAAGAAGAAGAAGAAGAAGAAGAAGAAGAAGAAGAAGAAGAAGGTCTCTGACCTTGGACTGGGCGACATGCCTTAGGTCACCCTGTGAGCAGGGATTTGAACACAGCTCTCTCTCTCTCTCTAGCCCCTCTCTGGCCGCCTGAACCATCTCTTTCTAATCCTGCCCCCCTACACCCTCACCTAGCCCCAAACCCGCCTGTGATTTTGTTTCTAGAAAAGCCACCATGAAAACCAGGCGATGAGGGGTGGGGGTGAGGGGAACGACTGTCTGTCTGTCTGTCTGTCTGTCTGTCTGCAGGAAGAGACGGGCATCTGCCTGGGAGCCTGCCTGTTTGATCTGGGCGAGAGCAAAACCGCTGCCAGGCGTGCCAATGCCAGATGGTGTTTGCGAGCGCTGCCAGGTCCCAGCTGAAGGCTGCCCTCGGAGAGCCTTTGAGAAGTTGCCTCCGCTGCCAGCCCTGCCAACTGCAGTGGCATATGCTTGGCTTTGCCCCTACACCTGTTGGTGGGGAAGATTCACACTCGGCTCTGGCAGCCGTGGAGGAGAGGAAGGAAATACCCAATCTGGAAGTGGGCATTTAAAAAAGAAAGAAAAAGAAAACTGAGAAGAAAGCTGTTAAGGTTCCTACAACTCGAGGGAGAAAGCTGGCTTGCCAGAAGAGAGCACAGAGGACCCATCAGAGGACTGCAGCCTCGAGCGACGCGCAGAGGAAGAATACCGGGAATTCCTGGTATGGGATGGGGGAGGCGTTTTGGTGCACTTGTGAAATAATTAGGGTTATTTATACCCCGCCTTCGCCCCCAAACTGGGACTCAAGGTGACTTACACAAATTAAAACGACACAGAGAAAACACAGAAGGCTAAAAACATAGAAAAGGTAATAGTTTAACTAAAACTCCCATAGAATTAAAACAATATATTAAAAACAGATCTATTAAAATACAGATAGTAAAAGCAGTACAGCACTATTTAAAGGCTTTTTCCTTTAAAAAAAGGTCTGTCCGTCTCCCAAAGCCTGTTGGATGATGATGATGTTTATTATTACGATATTTTATTTCCCCCCTGATGGGGCTAAAAACAAGAACCACTAAAAACATAGAAAAACCCATCATTAATTAAACATTGATGGAATTAAAACTGTATACCTATATACAATCTGTTTGATATATACTAGCAATTACAATAAAAACAGCACGACGCCAGGAATAACGCTGTCTTCAGCTGTGGGCAGCAAGGAGGGAGCCAGTTTGGCTTCACTAGGGAAGGACTTCCGAAGTTGTCTGGGAGTGGCCACCACTGAGAAGGCTCTGTTCCACGTCCCTACCAAGCGTCCCTGTGAGGTGGGGCAGGACAGAGAGAATAGCCTTCCCCAAAGATCTTAAAACTTGGGCAAGTTTGATGGGAGAATAGGGTCCTTCAGGTGGCCTGGCCCTCAACTGCACGGATCCAACCAACCTAAGACAGGTGGATTTTTTGCAGGTGCAATCTGTGACATGTTGTTCAGGCATTTATCATGTATTAGCGATGGATTTATACAGGACCATCTACTCATCATTCTGCCTTAGTCATTTTGTGGTGCTTCTCCTGATGTCTGTCTCTCGCTCTGTGTGTGTTTTCAGTAGATCTGCAGTCAGTTCAGATGTGGTGGCAAATTTTTGGAAGGCTTTTGATCTCAGCAATCTGGATCATTGGTATTCCACGACATGGCAAATCCATGCAGGGCATAGTTGGCGAGCGCTCTCATCAGATGGCTTTAAGAGAGGATTGGCAAATTCACGGAGGAGGAAAGAGCTATCGGTGGGTACCAGCCACAATGGCTCATCATTGGCAAATTTGTGGCGGAAAGAGCTATCGGTGGCTACAGGGCTGTCTTAACTATATGCTTAAGGGCCTTCCTGGTGGTGGCACCTGCCCTGTGGAACGCCCTCCCGTCAGATGTCAAGGGAATAAACAACTATCTTATTTTTAAAAGACATCTGAAGGCAGCCTTGTTTAGGGAAGTTTTTAATATTTAATGCTGTATTGTTTTTAACACTCGATTGAGAGCCGCCCAGAGTGGCTGGAGAAACTCAGCCAGATGGGCAGGGTATAAATAATAAATTATTTATTATTATTATTATTATTAGCGGTGCCGGGGTGCAAATATCCACCCGGCACCCCCCCCGGTTGCCCAGTCCCAGGCTCGCAGGAGGGCGGAGCCATCTGCCCGCCTCAGGGTCTCGCTGGCTCTGTCACCCCCCGACGGGCTGGCTCTTCCCCAGACTCAACTCTCGGGCACTGGCATACGGAGGGGGGGTGGTGGCAGGAGCACACCGGACCAGGTACCATTTTGGGAAAGGGTGCCATCGCGGCTGCCACCCCCAGGACACACGCCGCGCCCTCCCGGGACACGTGCCATGCGCCGCACAACCTCAGGATGTGCGCCACGCCCCCGGGGGTGATGCGCCACACCCCTGAGATGCGCGCCAGCCACGCCCCTGCATTTTCTTTCCTCCGGGGGCTGCAGCATGTTGCTCCACCACTGCTCTCAGGCCCTGGAATCTCGGCCTGGCGCCCCTGAGAGCCCGGTGCCCGGGTGCCCCGCACCCCTAGCACCTATGGGGAAGACGGCCCTGGGTGGCTACCGGCCACAATGGCTTTGCTCTGCTTCCACAGTCAGAGGCAGTAAAGTATCGGTTGCTGGAAAGCACAGGAGGAGAGGGGGTTCTTGTGCTCGGGTCCTGCTCGAAAGTTTCCTACAGGCATCTGGTGTGCCCCTGTGCTGGGCCCGGGGGTAACCCTTGAAACGCGGTCCAGGACCAGTCCAGAATCCGGAGGTTCCACTAGGAGTCAGTCCAACAGGGCCAAGGCAGGACACGAGGCAGGAAACCAGGCAAGGACAGGTGCAGGATCTCAGGCAGGGTCAGGCATACTGCAGTGTTGCTCCCGCAACCTGGGGTGGGGTCTGACAGCATTTTATCTTTGTCGAGGTAACGGCCAGTCCTGATCTCCCGGCGACTCACCTCCCTGTTTCACCGAAAGGTGAGCACTCCTCCTGCGAGTACTCAGGTCTCTCCTTCTGTCAGACCTGAGTCTCTGCAGCTCAGGAGACATTGGTGGGTTACTAGACCCAGAGGCTGCCTCAGCCTCCCCTGACCCAACTGGTAGTGGAGCAGCTGTAAGTGATGGCCCAGCTGAAGGCAACGAGGTCATCCCTGTTACGATATGGATGCAATGCAGCTGCAAACTGCTAGCTTGAAAGCAAAACATAATGGGAATGTTGGGACTGTCCGTGGGAAACAGAGGGACAGTCAGTTCACAGGGCAATGCACCGGAATTAGCTCAGAGTGTAATATGAGCTCTTCCTCTTGTTCTTGTACAGGAAGTACAGGAAGTGTTTGTCTCTCGACTGCTGGAGCTTGAAGAGAGCAGTCATGTTTTCTGTAATGCTGCAAAGACAGAAATAAAAGCATGTAAATACGTTTCTGTCTATCTCCTTTTCCCTGCCAGGAGAGCAGGAGGGAGGGGGTGTGTTCTTCCCACGTTTGGGAAGAATCGCCTATCGAGACCTAGCCTGGATCTTGCTGGGAATGCAGCCAGGGAGGTCAACAGGAGACCTAGCCGGGTGCCTGGGAGTGTTGCCAGTTACTCCCGATATAGGCTTGATTTCCGACAATCCCCGCATCTGGAGCCAGGGCAGGCTCAGGCCCCTGACTCGGCCCAGCTGGTGCTTGTTGCAGGGGAACCTGTGCAGACTGGGGCTCTTCAGAATCAGGCCCAGACTAGGTTCAGATGATGCCTGAGGTAAAGGATCCGGTGCAGACTGAGTCTCCTCTGGTTCTGAGTCCAAGCCCCAGTCCCAGGCCATCACAGCCCCTATGAGAACAGGATGCTAGAATAGGTGGGCCATTGATTTGATCCATCACAATAATTCTTATATTTCTTATATTTGTTGTTGTTTAGTCATTTAGCCGTGTCCGACTCTTCGTGACCCCATGGACCAGAGCACGCCAGGCACTCCTGTCTTCCACTGCCTCCCGCAGTTTGGTCAAACTCATGCTGGTAGCTTCGAAAACACTGTCCAACCATCTCGTCCTCTGTCGTCCCCTTCTCCTTGTGCCCTCCATCTTTCCCAACATCAACATCAGGGTCTTATCCAGGGAGTCTTCTCTTCTCATGAGGTGGCCAAAGTCTTGGAGCCTCAGCTTCAGGATCTGTCCTTCTAGTGAGCACTCAGGGCTGATTTCCTTCAGAATGGAGAGGTTTGATCTTCTTGCAGTCCATGGGACTCTTGAGTCTCCTCCAGCACCATAATTCAAAAGCATCAATTCTTCAGCGATCAGCCTTCTTTATGGTCCAGCTCTCACTTCCATACATCACGACTGGGAATTGAAAACAATAAGAATTGAAAACAAAGGCAACAATTCTTATATACTCACAGGAATTCAAAAC